GCTCCTAGGCGCGTGGAGACTCCTCGTCAGGCGGTGATGGCGTTGGCGGTGCCCAGCTCGGCCCCGATCGCGCTGGAGGCATCCAAGATGGCGTCGTTCCCGAAGGCCAAGTGCTCCAAGGCCGTCGTGGATGGGCAGGTGGCCGCTGTGCGTGTCAGTGCGCGGGCCAAGGGCGCCAAAGGGAACATGCCTTCGCTCCAACGCGCCAAACTCCTCCAAGCACAGAAGAATTTGGAAACCTCAGGTAATCCACTCCCCCGTTTTGCGATCTTGGATGCTTTTTCGGACGATCATCTGGGTGAGGTGCTGGCCGAGAGTGGGGTTGCTCCGATGGGAGAGGGCGGGGTTTGCGAGCTCATCTCGCTCGTGCGCGCAAAGGAGATGGCACAGGCGGCACTCGCAGCGACGGCTACTCAACACGCGGAGCGCTTGGCTGTCGAGGACGAGCCCTCGACGTCGCTAATGCTCCAGCCCAAAGGGGAGACAGCAACAGGGGTTGCCGCTCCCTCCTCGCCTCGCTGCGGCAAGGTGAGGCGCGTGGACAAGGCGATCACCTCCAGAGGTGTGCGCCTGCATAACCGCATTATCTAGATGCGGGCGCTTTTTTGGAACATCCGTGGCTTCGGCCACTCGGGGAGGCGCACCCAACTTAGAGATTACATCAAAAACGAAGGGATAGATATCATAGGGCTCCAGGAAACCATTAAATCTGAATTTCGCCACCAAGATATCTTAGCCATAGATCCCCTTGAGCGTTTTTTGTGGCACCACAGTCCGGTAAACGGCCATTCGGGTGGCATGCTGCTTGGCTTCTGTTGTGCCATTTATGAGGTGATGTCCTGGGAGGTTGGCACCTTTTTCATCGCTGCCAATATACGCGTGAGAGCCTCGCTTCGCGAGCTCATGATCGTGCAAGTTTACGGACTAGCAGATCACTCGCGCTCGACTGAGTTTCTGGGAGAACTCGAAGCCAAGGTGTTGGCAGTAGCCGCAACCCAAGTCCCTCTTCTGGTGGGTGGCGACTTCAACCTTTTCCATTCGGGTGCGGACAAAAACAATGATAATATCAACTGGCCAAGGGTGGCCATGTTTAATAACGCAATTGCGTCGATGTCACTTAGGGAAGTGACAAGGACTGGGGCAAGTACACTTGGACCAACAAGCAACTAGCCCCGGTTCGATCCGTTTTAGATCGCGTTTTCATGTCTCCGGAATGGGAAGTGGTGTTTCCACTAAGCTTGCTCCTGGCAGAAACAAGGATCGGCTCGGATCATGCTCCTCTTATCTTATCTTCAGGGGAAGATAGGTTCCGCCGTAGCCCACGTTTCTTCTTTGAAACAGCGTGGTTCGAGGTCCCTGACTTTGACACTATCTTTAGGGAAAGATGGCTGAGGTGTGTTCAAGCCACGGGCCAGCAGCGCGGCCCTTTGGAGTTTTGGACCGCGGTCGGGGGACGCCTGCGCGCAAGCCTCAAGGGATGGGGTGCGAACCAAGGATGTGACAACAAAGTATTAAGGGCGCGGCTTCTCGCTGAGATTGCAACCCTTGATACCCAAGCTGACTCGCGCCCTTTCTCGGAGCAAGAATGGGCGCACCGATACGCCTTAGAAGGGCAAGTCGAAGCATTGCTTCGATTGGAGGAGGAATATTGGAGGCGTAGGGGAGGCCTCAAGTGGATGCTCAAGGGCGATGCGAACACTGGTTATTTTCACGCGTACGCGAATGGTCGCCGCAGAAAATTCCTAATCCTTAGACTGCAGACGGAGCAGGGGCTCCTTCTCCAGCAATCAGAGATCAGCAAACACATCTATGACTTTTACATCAGCTTGATGGGGACAGACGAACCTCAACGTGCGTGGCTGCGAGAGGACGTTTGGCTTCCAGCACAAAAAGTCTTAGAATCAGAGAACGGTGAGTTGGGGCTCGCGTTCCTCCCAAAGGAAAAAGACGATGCAATCCAAAGCATGAAAACTGACACGGCCCCAGGGCCCGACGGGTGGCCGGTGGCGATGTTCAAACACTTTTGGCCACTATTGCACGACCCCATCTTCGCGGTGTGCAATGGCTTCATGCGTGGCTTCATGGATATAGCTAGGTTAAACTATGGAGTGCTCTTGTTAATCCCGAAAGTGCCTGGTGCAGATAACATTCGCCAATACATGCCAATTGCGCTCATTAATGTGCCTTTCAAAATCTGCGCCAAAGGGTGTGCCACTAGGCTTACTCCGATAGCCCATCGCACCATTAGTCGAACTCAATCTGCTTTCATCCACGGTAGAAACATTTTGGAAGGTCCACTAGCGCTGCAAGAGACACTTCACGAACTTAGACGAACGCACGAACCGGCGATTTTACTCAAACTCGACTTCGAAAAGGCTTACGACCGCGTCGACTGGGATTTCCTTCGACAAATCCTAACTAGCCGAGGCTTCTCGTCGACATGGGTTCACAGAGTCATGCAGTTGGTCTCGGGGGGCCAAACTGCGGTCTCGGTGAACGGAGAAGTAGGGAACTTCTTCAGGAACAAGCGTGGCCTACACCAGGGTGATCCAATGTCACCGCTTTTGTTCAACTTCGTGGTTGATGCGCTTGCGGCCTTGCTTCGTAAAGCAACGGAGGCAGGCCACATCAAAGGGGTGTTGGGGCACCTCATCCCAGGGGGATTTCGCACTTACAGTATGCGAATGACACGCTTTTGTTGTTCCAACCGGACATACACAACGTGGCCACGATCAAAGCGCTGTTGATCACCTTCGAACTCATGTCGGGACTCAAGATCAACTTTCACAAATGTGAAGTGATGCCCATAGGGCTCGATTCGTCTGAGAGCAGGCGTATCGCGGACCAGCTCAACTGCAAACTAGGCAAACTCCCGTTTACCTACCTGGGCCTCCCGTTGGATGCCAAACGTATCTCGATAGATGGTTGGGCCCCGCTTTGGACCAAGGTCGGTGGGCGGGTGTGTCCGTGGAGGGGGAAGTTTCTGTCCTCCACAGCTAGACTAATTCTCACGAATGCGAGCCTATCCTCGTTGCTGCAGTTTGCGATGGGGTTGTTCCTACTGGCAGAAGGCGTTCATGTCAAGATGGACACACCCAGGTCCCGATTCTTTTGGGAAGGGACGGGACCAAAACGCAAGTACCACATGGTTAGATGGGATGCGGTGTGTCGTCCCAAGGACCTCGGGGGGTTAGGGATCACAAACACTCGGATCCTTAACATTGCTCTTATGTGCAAGTGGATTTGGAAACTGTCGCAGGGGGCGACGGGCCTGTGGGCTGATCTGCTACGCGCTAAATATTTCCCGAACGGGAATTTCTTCGAAGGCAGGGCGCGGGGCTCTCCCTTCTGGAATGATCTTCAGGCGGTTCGCCCGACTTTTGCTCTTGGCGCCAAATTAGCAATTGGCAACGGCCGCTTGGCCCGCTTCTGGCTCGACCTGTGGGTGGGAGGGGCGCCCCTTTGGGAACAATTTCAGGACTTATATGTCCTGGCTGTCAACCCGGAGCAGAAGGTAGCTTCGGCACTTGCCTCTAACCCCTCGGAGATCCATTTCCGGCGCGAGCTAACGGGCCTGAACAAGCTCTCTTAGAGGAGTTGCTTGCTCTCATTCAACCGGTGACGCTGTCCTCTTCAGCCGACACGGTCACCTGGGCTCTCACCTCGTCCGGTAAGTTCACAGTCAGGTCTCTTTATCGCAGGCTGTGCCAGGGCCAGGGCCCGGCCTTCCCGATGCCGTCGGGCCTATGGACTGCGCGAATGCCCCTTAAGATCAAGGTGTTCTTTTGGCAACTTTTCCGCAATAGACTTCCCACTTCGGCTAATATTGCCAAACGCAACGGCCCGTCTTCCGGACTTTGCGCAATTTGCAACACCATGAAGTATGCGAATCACGTGTTCTTCCGATGCCCTCTAGCGCGTTTTGCCTGGAGTGCAGTCCGTGAAGCCACCAACTCCACGTGGGACCCGCACTCAGCTAGGGACCTAGCGACCATAGTTGCATCGATGAATGGCGGCAGCAAGCGCGTGCTTTGGAGCTGCCTAGGCGCCTTGGCTTGGGCTTTGTGGCTCACCAGGAACAAATTAGCAATCGAGGGAATTTTCCCTTCTCACCCTGCTAATATTCTTTACAAATGCAACATTCTTCCGCAGCAGTGGAGTCCGTTGGCGAGGTGTAAGGATGCTGAGAGAATGAAGCAAGCTCAAGACCGTCTTCGCCAAGTCTACCTTTTGGCTAGGGAGTCAATCACCACTCCTACGTTGTGAAGTGGTTATTTTGTCTCGCGAGCGAGCCTGCGTGCTCTATGCTCTTGGCTTTTGGCCTGTAATAGACTCGTTGTGGACCGCCTGTGCCTTTTGGCCTGCCGCTAAACTCCCGTGCCTTCGCGCACGTATGTCCTGAGCCTCCGCGCTCGTTTCGTTCAGTTTCTAGTCCTGTAAACGCTGCCTAAGTTGTGGGCTTTATTAATTTAAAGCCGGACGCCTCTAGCGTCTTCGTTCTAAAAAAAGTCCCACGCTCGAGTCCGCCCCTGTGATGCATTGTTTTTTTTTTTGCAATTTATTTCTCCTCCACACACTGACAGGTGGGACCGCATATGTAGAGTTGATTAGGCTGCCATGTAGGAAGTCTGACCGGTCAGCTTAAACAAGATACAAAGTTATACGCTGAGTCAGTGACCGTATAATCACCGCAATGCGTATATAGTGACCGTATTCTTAAGTACAGTGACTAAAATGAACTCTCAACACAAGTACGGTGACCACTGATGCATTTTACTCTCCAACAAATTAACTGACTAGAGTGTGTTTTTTTCTTCACCTTTTCAAAGTATTTTCGCAAGAAAAAACTCTTCTCAAAGTAGCACCAAAGTAGATCTACAGCGCGAGGACCGGCAGATGTATTTTGCTGGAAAATGGAGAGACGTGCGCCTCCTTTTCCCACTTCACAGTTCACGCTCTAGCCCCAGCCCCCCCACCTCCGGAGACCCCGATCTCCGGCAATGTCGCTCCACCAGCGGCCGCACCAGAAGCCGCTGGGCGCGGACTCCCTCCCCGTCTCCACGGGCCCCGCTAACGCCGCTCCTTCCCGCCCCCTGCCCCTCCTCACGCTCCCCTACCTTTTCTCCCTTCTCGCGCTCCTCCTCCTGCTCGCCCTCCTCTTCCCCTGGGGGCCGCCCCGCCACTCCGCGCCGGCCTCCCCGTGGCGCTCCTACACGCTCCAAGACGCCGCCGCCTTCGCCGCGGCCTCCGGCAACGGCACCATCATCCTCGCCGCCGTCTCCGGGCCATACCTCCCCTTCCTCTCCAACTGGCTCATCAGCGTCCGCCGCGCCGGCCGCGCTAACCAGGTGCTCGTCATCGCCGAGGACTACGAGACCCTCGACCGCATCAATGCCGCATGGCCCGGCCACGCCGTCCTCGTGCCCCCCGCGCCCGACGCCCAGGCCGCTCACAAGTTCGGGTCGCAGGTGGGGAGAAATCTCGGTTACCTTACCCCCCACCCAAGCTGTTCGATGAAATGTCCATGTGTGTGACCGTGCCTGCTCTTGTGTGCAGGGGTTCTTTAACTTCACCTCGCGGCGGCCGCGGCACCTGCTGCAGATTCTCGAGCTGGGGTACAGCGTCATGTACAATGACGTTGACATGGTGTGGCTTGCCGACCCGTTTCCATATCTAGTTGGCAACCACGACGTGTACTTCATGGACGACATGACTGAAGTACGTACAATTGTTGTGTTTGTTGTTGGGGCTGTTGGAAGAGCATTTGATGATGTGGGAATTGTCAATGCAGGTGAAGCCACTAGAGCATTCACATGCGCTGCCGCCGCCAGGTAAGAAGGGGCGGCCATACATTTGCAGCTGTATGATCTTCCTGCAGCCAACAGAAGGGGCAAAGCTGTTGATGAGGAAGTGGATTGAGGAGCTCAAGGAACAGCCCTGGTCGAAGCAAGCAAAATCAAATGATCAGCCAGCATTCAACTGGGCTTTACTAAAGACTGCCGGGCAGGTTAGGCATGAACATCTAGATGTTTTCTGTGGAAATTGAATTTGAACTTTGTTTCGTTGCATTTGCTTGAACTGATCATATGCATTTGTTTCTTCGCTTGAATAAACTAGTGGCATGGGGGTATCTGGTCAATGGGTTCATGGCTGCTTAAAGTTTAAATTGATTTTCATGTATGCTCTGTAGTCTAGGTTAGCTGAAGTACCAAAGAACTCAAATTTTGATATCAATCTGGACTGTGTAAAAGGCTTGTTTAAAATGTACACAATCTTTGCCTATATTTTCCTGTACATTTTTAGAAACAGCACTGATGTTCCAAACTTCTAATATATGATTTTTTGTGTAAATGGATTTACCTCTACATGTGCATCATTGTGGTTGTGTGAACTTGCGTTCTTGCAGTTGTTACGTGTTATCTTATCTTTTTTGCCAATGTTTTTTTCTCTCAAGGAAAGCGGTAGGGAGCGACTCGCATCCTTGAGAAACATGACGTAGCAGCATTAGGTGGAGTCATGTTGAACTTGGACTTAAGTTTTTCACTTCTTAGTGTCTCGAAATTGTCCAACCAGGCTCAAGTCCTACGTCGAACAACCCCCCTAGGCCAGTCATGATTAGCTTAAATTCTGTTTATTGTGCAAGGTCATGTTACTAAGAGATGAGAGTTTGTGTCGGATGTATACCTGGCCATGGGATACCCGGCCCTAAAAAGCCCAACCCAACCCGGCCCGGTCTTGCCCACAGGCTGGGCCTGGGCCTAAAATCTGAGCCCGAAGGCTGGGCCCAGCTTGGGCTTGGCATTTTTGCGTTTTAGGGAAGAGGCCTGGCCCGAGGCCTGATGGGCTTAGGTTTTCTACTACGGGCTTTATTAGGCCCAGCTCGAAGCGCACCCCGGCCCGACTTATGGCCAGGTATAGTCTTTTTTTTAAAAAAAATAACGTTGGCATTTCATTGATTAAGTAATAAAGTCATATAATGTCTCCCGGATACAATCCGGAGCAGAGTACGAAAACAGAAAACAAACTAGAATTCTTACAAGAGTTGGCCAAAACATGGGCCACTAAATTACATTGACGACAAACATGCTTGAAGGCTGAAGATGTGAAATCTAGGGCTGCTTGTTTGATATCCATAACCACAGGGCCGACATTCGAACGGTCCCGAATATTAGAATTGATTCGTTGCACCACAGAGAGACAGTCAGAGGCGAAAGTTACATGCGTGAAATGTTCATCTCTAGCCAGAATGACTGCACGGCCAAGCGCTAAGGCTTCCGCCTTCTCTGGATGAAAATCTCCAAAAAGGGGCTCGGAGCACGCGAGGGTGCACTGTCCCTCATGATCCAGCGCCACCACACCCAAGCCAGCCTTGTTGAGATTAGCAAAGCAGCAGCAGCAGAGTAAATTAAAACAGTACCTTGTGGCGGCGGAGACCAATTGGAGCTAGAAGCATGAGTCTCACGCCTATGAGCAGGTACTGTTTAAAAAGATGCACCATAATCATCTCCATATATGCACGTATCTTAGCAGCTGAAACACGTGGATGAGGGGCCTCAGCTTCATTCCTAGCAGCATTCCTAGCTTCCCAAATGTGCCAAATGCTGAAACACGTATTTTATCAGGAATTTTGATAGACCAAATAGACTTCGAATTTTTTTCCTCAACCTGACAGTCTGAAGATTGATACCTTCCATCACGACTGCGAGCTAAAATGAATCGCTTCGACCGTGCTAAATTGCACGCTGACCGAACAGAATACTCCCCATATTTGGTGGCCGGCCAGCGAACAAAACAGGCTGATTGGAACCTGGAGTATAGCAGCAGCAACCCGTTCACTGAAAAAAGCCCGTACAGATTCCTGATTCCATGTACCCGTATTTTCATCAAGCAAAGAATGAACAGTAGCACTTGCAGGAATTGTAGAAATTGGATGTAGTAAACCCGGAGGGATGGATGGAATCCAGTGATCAGAAAGGATGCGAGTTCGCCGACCATCTCGAATGCCCCAACATGCCCCTTGTTTCAGTAGCTCCCGTCCATGAAGGATGCCACGCCATGTGCTGGAAGCAGAACGAGGTGCCGAAGCATTCCAGAAATCACAACGAGGAAAATACCTTCCTTTGAGGACACGTGCGCATAAAGAGTCAGGCTCTGTCAACAAGCGCCATCCTTGTTTGCCAGCATCGCTTGGTTAAATAAGGCCAGGTATAGTTGGATGTGCATGTGATTCGTAACGGATTCGCCGTGGCCGCATACACGAGGGAGGCGGTGGTCAGGCTCATGTGCAGGTGGACACTGCGCGACCCCCATGACACTAGGCATACTAGTTTCATAGAGGACAGAATCATGTTTATCTTCTGCTCAAGTTTTTGGTTCACCAAACTCTCTAGGCTAGTAGGGAACAGTTTAAATCCGTGTTGTGCAAGGTTGGGATACTGAGATAAGATTAGTCTGTATTCAGATTAGAAGATGGATACTATATAACTAAGGGGTTATGATCTTCTAATATCTAGCAAGAAATTATCTTTCCAATCTTTCTTCTATCCTGCATGCATCATCTCTTTCACGGTAATGGCCCAGAGAACCAAGGGTTATCAACCTCGACCTCCTGTACATGTTATTTTTACTGGGACGGGGCACAATCGGGCAATTTGGAGTTGTGGACTAATCATTTTATCAGTGGAACATCTACCGACAACTTTTCTACCATCTGGAATTCGCTGTATAAGCATCAACCATTTATTGGAGCTGCTATAGTGGACAGATAGAGGACAAATTTAAGAAACATTTGCATTTTTTTTGCAGGAACAAAAAAAACAACATTTACAATTGTGAGTTAATCACTCATATGTCATGATTACTACTCCCTCCGTTTCTTTTTAGTCCCGCATATAAGATTTGGTCAAAGTCAAACTTTGTCAAGTTTGACTAACTTTATAGGAAAAAATATCAACATCTACAATACAAAAGCTATATGTTATGAAAATTAACTCCACAATGCATCTAATAACTTTGATTTTATAGTGTGAATGTTGATATCTTTTCCTACAAAGCTAGTTAAATTTTACAAAGTTTGACTTTGACCAAATCTTATATGCAGACTAAAAAGAAACGGAGGGGGTACAACGAATATGGTAATGGCATCATAAGGCACTTAATAGATTAAAACTTGAACTTTATGAGAAGGTGGTTGAAGTTGATCTTTGACTTGATGAGGCTTTAGATATCTGTTACCTCTTCAAACTGATTCCGCTTTGCTCAATGTCCATTTTATCTAAAATGTGCACGGGAGTAACTGTTCCAGCATGGATTTAGCTTCTACACTGTTATCTTTAATGTGAAATTCAGTTGACATGCATTGGTTGTACTAAGCTTTGCCATGTTTAAAATGTACTTGTTCAGTAATAACCTTTTCAGGAAGTTTGTAACTGTTACCTATATGTTTCCCTACAAATATAACATATTTACCAGTTTTTTTAATCAATATCCTTGCTGCATTTAAGTTTTAGTTTACATTCTGCAAGTATCTTCGGGAGGTCTTTTATGGATGGAAACAAAGTCATGGTAAATGACAAAGGGTTTTATTCTGTTTTCGCAAAATATTTTCCTGCATCGCTGCCGCTGCAACAGATAATGTCATTTGTAAAACTACTAATATAAGATATGCTTGCAGGTGGACGTGTATTTACTACCTCAGTCTGCTTTTCCAACTGGAGGTCTATATTTCAAGAACAAAACATGGGTCAAGGAGACAAAGGGCAAGCATGTCATTATACACAACAACTACATAACAGGGTTTGAAAAGAAGATAAAACGCTTCCGTGATCATAAACTCTGGCTGGTGGATGAACACGGTGACGAGTCACCACTTGGTAAAATATGAGCAAGCTGTAAAGGCTGGAGTACATCTATCCTTGCAGCAGCAGCATCGCAGTTTTGTGGATGGTGTCTGCCCAACCAGATGTTGGATCCACCACATGGAATTCAACAATCGAATTCGAACACCAGATCCATATGCAGAAGACTCCCTTTGTACATCAAGGCCCTCAGGGGCTACGCTTTCTCATGCAGTTCATCTTTCTGAAGTACATCTCTGTAACTGGAAATGGCTGGTCGAGGAGACCAGTAAGATTTTGTGGCATGAATGAAGAGATTTTGTGGCCATGAGTATCGTGTAAGTCCATGGGTTAATTCACTGGGTCTGTATAGCATTGTAGTTTTGTGAATTTGTACTATTATTGTTACTAAAAGTGCAGCATTTTTGTACACTAGATCTCTCCCAAGTACAGTACTATTGCCCCTCATCTTTTAAAGGCATATTGATTCAATTGTGACCGTGCAAGTTTCCATAATCAACATTCTCATCTTTCAGATACGCCTCCAATTATAGCAACAGAATCCTAAGCTAGCGTCGCCGGGAGCCAGAACAAGTCCTGTTGTTGGACCCTTTCCTTTGATGCCTCCCCCACTTTGCTTTCCGCTGGAGCAACGCCGTTGCCTTGGCCTCACACAAGGAACACCGGCGGCACGCACGCCCCCCACATATACTCCCCCCAGCCCCCGTGCTTGCATGTGCACAAGAAACCTCCTTTCTTCTCAGCACAGCAGGAAGGAAACCCACCCTCCTACGTGGACAAAGATCAGATCAATGGGTCAGGCCGTCGCCAAGGCGAAGCAAGGTATGATCGAGAACACTAGCTACCGGGTCCATCGCGCGATCTCGGGTCAACCATCTTTGCAAATGCTTGCTAGTTTTGCTTCTAACATGAGTGATGTTTCTGGTAGAGGCCGGGCGGGCAACGCAGAAGAACGACAAGGACGGCAAGGCTGTGGCCAACCGTAATGACGCCAAGGAGCAGCTCATCGAATTTATGGATAAGAACTACGATAAAGTCAAGCCTACGAAAACCTTCGATGAGTTTTATCATGCCATCTTCGAACTCATCGAGTAAGCCTTCTTCTCAACAGTTGGAGAGCACTGCTAGGAGGAGCTGCTAGTGCAACGCATCATTTTGTTTTAGTATCTACAGCCTACATATTAGTAGTACTACAGTTGAATTATTATTGGATACATGCAGGAATTCTCGTATGATTCCTAAGCCTTTATGGATTAAAAGTTCATGCACGCGTATAAACAGGTACTGCTCCCTTGGTACAATGGTACACACAGAGAAAACGACGTTTTGGGCATATCTTAAGTCAAACCTTGCAAACTTTGAAATATTTTGCTTGGGAACTTGAAAGCCATATGTATAGATTTTATTTCGAGAAATGATTTCTGAATATTATAATAATTTTGTTGTTCGTTATACATATACTGCAGTACAAATTAGTCGTCGAAGTTATATTCTGAAAAATGTGTCAATGTCCAAAACGTCTAGTGTACCCAAGGGAGTAGTATAGTAATAGCCTTTGGTCAGATTCGTAGCATGCCGTCAATGCCAAAATGTACCTCATCCATTCAGAATTTCAAACATATTCAGCCAGCTGAAACCTCATCGATGGTGTTTTATATTTAAGAAAAATACCTAACAATTTCTATCTGTTATTTTGCATTCCACTTCAGACAGTTTTGTGAGGAACAAGGGCAGCTGCAGTACAGGATGCCATCAAAAGATAAGCTCGCGGAAGTGTACAAGGTCAGATATATACCCTCTTCTTTTTTGGAATAAAGGAGGCTCCTCTGCTTTATTTGACATAGCTTCTCAACAGAGCTTAGAATCTTTCTTTGGTTTCAAATCTTTCGAAATGGCTAAAAAGAAAACGTTTGGGTGCCATCATAACTTTATACTAAACTTAACGATTTTGTTTCCCTCTCGTGCAGGCTCTTAGGAAGCCGGATGGAGTAAACCTCACCAAGGGTCAGTTCCACACGATCACCGAGAACCTCGTCACGGTGCACAGCTTCAGCTTCGGCAAGGCCGCCTTCGACGTGCTCGTGGTCCTCTTTGGCGCTCCGATGTGCGCGCTCCTCGTCAAGAGGGTCGTCCCCGGCCTCAAGTCCTTCTCCGACGACGTCGTCATCCCGGTGGCCACCTCCGGCGCCGTCGTGTACCTGGCCAAGACCAACAAGCTGTGAGTCGGCGGATTATACGAGTGTAACTACTACTACTAGCTTACCACAAGAAGAAAAATAATGTGTCGAATCGTAATGATGCAACTGTGTGGTGGCTCGATCGCGTCCAGATTGCAAAATCTATAAAGATGATTGAAACTTTTAGTGATTTTTCTCTGTTCTTACGGGGGCATGTGTGCGTGCGCCCGCGGCAATGTTGCAGTATAAACGTTTTTTCCCTTCAAACCAGAAAACGGTAATGTTGAACCTGACGTTGGGTCATGAAAACTGCGGAGGAAGCAAAGTAACTTGGACATTCTCGGTCATGAAAGGAAACATATGCATCAGGTGTGTCTGAGGTCAAGTGAACCACTCAAAAGATCAGCCGAAAAATCAACACACATGACACATGAACATCAGGATTATCATGTGAAAAGCCCTCAAGTTGGGGTAAAAACAACGGACTGAACCATCCAAATATTATGCAACAAGTTATGCTCTAGGTAGCACTAAAGGCTTTCATACATCAAAAGTGTTACTCTAATCCCGAGCACAAATACACCCGTATGGATAATAAATTTCGAGGGTAGGGTTTTCGTGTTATTTTACCAGCTCTCCAAAGCCAACCACTCCAAATCGCAGATCACTGCCTTAGGCCGAATATGTATGAACCTGAGTACCAGTTTGTCGAATCCGAGAAGGATTTGTATGGATCTAAACACTGTGTATGCATACTTGGGGAAGAACTAGGTATAAGGCCGACACGGGGAGCCATTTCTTGTGTGTTCTCTTGTGAATTAGGAAATAACTATTTGTCAATTGCTAGATTCTGGCCAGCCCAGAAGAGACACATGGTCATGAACTATGTTTGTGCATGCGTTTTGTGGTGCATTTGGAAATATAGAAATTCCATAGTTCTTAACAATGTTAATTGGTCTGATTTAAAGCAGTTTTGGTGGTTGATCCATATAACAATCAATTAATGGTTGATACTCTTCAAGGAGGAACCTTTGGAGAGGTTAAAAAGGATCTCACATCAGTTATCGTTGATCCCCAGTTCTCCCTTTCAACTGATAGTGGGGTAAGGACCGACAACTTAGACACTAAAGGTGTTTTAAGCCAGGATGCACTTGCTAATTTTTTCGCTGGAAAGGGGTTTTGGGGTTTAACGTGGACTGGGTACAAACCACAACACACCCTCTCCTCTGGGGAGTCCAAAGAAGATCACCAAGTTCTCCACTGCATCAAGCCTTGTTACTTCCCTGGAGCTGCCTCACTCGCTAACACTGCCGATCAAGAAGATCAAGAGTGGAGTCCTGCATCAACTTCAAGCTGTGAGACTTGGCCTCGTTCTGAGTGACAGGAAGTCAGGAACATAACGCTTGGCATCTGATGGAGGATAGACGATAAGGATGGTTTCACAACCGTCGAGAGTTTAGCTTTACTTTATGTTTTCTGTTTAGTTTGTCTGCTTATGCCGCAGACTTGCAAATTTCTGCTCTCTATGCAATAAGTTCATGCTGGGGTATTGGCCTTTCAGCATTTTTTGCTTTAAGTTTGGTTTTGAGACATGCGTCTGGTTTCGTTTTCAATGAAAATGGAACCGGAGGCCTTGTGCACTCCTGATAGTCTAAAGAGAGTATCAACGTATATGTGTTTGAGCCATTTGGCCAAATGATAAGGGGATTGAATGAATTACAACCCTATAAGGCGGCTATTAGACACGACAACGGTAAGAAATGCAACAGTAAATTAAAAGTAACTATGGTGTATCCTTGCGAGTCATTCGATGCGGATGGTGTATTGTTGGATAACTGATTGAAGGGGTGAATGCCGAACCGAAAAACCGGGACCAACACCAAATAAACCGAAACCGAGTATTTTGGTTTCTAGTCCAGTCAATAATCTTCCAACCGAATTTTATCGGTTTCAGGGCTCGGCCACCCGAATTTACCAAATAACCGATAAATGGGCTGAAGTTTGTACAGCCCACTTACATCCAAGTACCACTTGACTCCATGTTGGGTGCAGCATGATGGCCCACACGACCCTGTGTGGCAACTACTCACCCTCACCACGTGAGCGCGAACGCGTATGTAATCAACTTTAATTGCCATGTCTATCATGTATCATTAAATATAGTTGCCATGTGTGTAACTAATTAAAGTTGCCACGTGTGGTCAAACCATAGTTGCCATGTATGATCAACCATAGTTGCCATATGTGATTAACTAGTTACCACATATGCACAATGTGTAACTAATTGGTGTTGCCACGTGTAGTTAAACACTTAAACCATAGTTGCAATGTATGGTCAACCATAGTTGACGTGTGTGATTAACTAGTTGCCACATATGCACACCTGTAGTTGCCATCAATCAACGCGTGAGCGTCGTGTGGGCGAAGAGCAGTTTCACCCACAAGTTCGGACGAGCGTCCTGTGTGCGTTCGGGCAAGGAGCGCCCACACGTGCGGCACTAAATAATAACGCCCACAGACGCTGGGCGGTTACGTGGCTCTCGACTCAGATGACAACAACTTCAATATTCGTGGAAATGAATCGAACGACATCAATTGTGTTTGGGCCATGTTGAATTTTTTCACACGTGTGAGCGCTATCGTTTAGGAAAGAAACCATGGTCCCATCTCCTTCCACGGAGCCGCCAGCGCCAGCCCTTCCCCACTCTCAGGCCAACTTGTAAGTGCATCTAGTGCCCCTTAGTGATTTTGGTGTATTGAAGACTTATAGGTTAAGAGACTAATATGTTTGTGAGTGTACACAGGCTCTATAAGTCGATGAGGAGTTTGATATTTACTATGAAAGTCGA